GCCACGGCCACCGCGACCGGCCCTGCCGCGGGCGCAATCCGTTCTCGGGCTCCCGGCTGGGCCGGGCAGGGGTGGGAGCCGGGGGCGGGAGGGGGACAGAAAACCCACAGCTGGCGGCCGCCGGCGCCTCGGGGGCCCAGGTCTGCGCCCCGGGCCTGGAACAACAGTCTGCGAATAATGGGCTTCCAGGCGCGCTCCTGGCACGTTAAATTCCGAGCGCGGAGAGATGGGACACTACCTCCGGGTGATTGTAAACAGCTTTCAAACAATGGGCCCCCAGCGTCTGCGCAAGGAGGGCCCCCTCGGAGCTGAGGGACTGGCCAGGTCCCCCGGGGGGCCACGCAGGGCGGGCTGTGCAGGATTGGGGACGCCGAGGGGTGGCCACTGGGGCAGAAGGGGAGCAGGGGTGCCGGAATCCGTAGCAGGGCGCTGTCACCAGGTGCTGGCTGCGTGGCTTGCTTGTAAGAGCTCCCTCTCATATTCTACTTAAATAAATTCAAGTCCTTTTGGGAGTGTAGCTTGCTCCCCCAATTACTTTGTATTTTTTGGAGATAAAGATATCTGTTCTTACAAGTTAAGAGTTCACACCCAACACGACATGAATTCAGGCCGTGGTTATGTTGCAGGGCAGTGGGTGTCAAACACGAGGATGCAACAGAATCACCCAGGGCTTGGTGAGACAGGCTGCTGGGTTCACCCGCCCCCCAGCCCCCCCCCCCCCCCCGGAGTGGGATTCAGCAGGCTTGGTGTCGGGGCGGAGAATTGCATTTCCAACATGTTTCCAGGTGATGCTGAGGTGGTGATGCTGATGTGCTGGTTTGGGGAAGACACTTGGAGAACCCTAAGTATATTTCTCTATGTTAACATTTTATCTTGGTTTAACAATTTGTAGGAAAAGTCATTGTAGCTACTATTTGTGGGACAGGTGGGCCAGGGGCTGAAGAAAGGCTGAGAGGGCCTCTGGGTTGTCCTTGGTACCAGAAGCACGTGCATTCAGTTGCCAGGACAACCGGTAAGGCCCTGCCCTTACCTCTCCCCCAGCTGCCTGAGCCCTCTCCACTGAGGCATCCTCAAACCCCCTTCCCAAGTATGTGTGGGGGGAGAGCGGGGGGGGGGGGGGGGGCGGCGCTGAGGACTGTAGCTGGCAGCTGAGGCCAGAGGTGACTGCAGATACCCTGCCCCCACCATGTTCACACCTGGGCACAAGGATGGAGGAGGCAGCCTCTTGGAGGAAATGAACCTCCTGCACCCAAATCCAGCCCCTCCACCGGGGGCACGGCCCTCACCCTGTCTTCTGCAGCCCTCAGTGGTCAGAGGCTAACCCCTGGCCCCTTCCCTGGTCCCTAGCCTCGTCTCAGCTCATGTGTGAGGCAGTGGGGGCTTGAGGTGGGTTAGAACCCTCACTTGCCCCAGCTGATCCCAGAGAGAGGAGGAAGATGAAGGCCTGCACAGAGTCCCCCAGGAGGTAAAGCAGGGACAGGTCTGGGGGTCATGCTCCCCACCTCCAGCCACTTCATCCCAGCAAGAGGTGGAAGAGTGTCAAGCCCTCCTGTCACCTGGAGCTGTGTTCTTGTAAAGCCTGAACAGTGCCTCCTGCCCGCAGCCAAAACAACAGCTTCTAACATGATTTCTCTGCAGGCCTTGGGGCCTTACATAGGTCACCTCACCCCTCCGGGCTTCAACCCAGTGGATCTTACAACTCTCCTGGAGTCAGGGGGCCTGGGGGAACTCAGGATTACATTGTTCCCAACCCCTGTCAGGGAGGCCTCTCAGACCATTTGGAAAGGGACAGGCACCGCTTGACATTCCTGAGCTGCCATCGGGCCACAGGTTTAGGCAGGGAGAGAAGGAAACTAGACAAAAGGCAAGGGAGGGTCTGGACAGCTGGAGCATTTTTTGGGGGAAGGGGGGCGCTTGAGGTTTGAGGGGAGCTCCTCAAACCACTTGAATACAGCCCCTGTCCCAGCCTCTGCTGGGCTTCTCCCCACCACAAGCTGACACACAAGCCTCCTGTTGGGCACACTGAAGACTCCACCCCCTGTGGAGCTGCCAGCCACTGTCCTGGAGCCAAGCGGTGCTTGCGCAGGCCGGCAGGCCTCCTCGGGCAAGCTGCAGAGGTGCAGCAGTGGCCCAGTCCAGCAAATTTGTGAAAGGCTCTGGGCCTTCCAGAAAGAGCAGTCACAAAGGCACAAAGAGCAGCAACCCAGGCATTTGTTCTGCAGCAAACATACAAAGGGGACTCAAGTTAAAACTGTATGATCTGGCTTTGAGTTAAAGCTCACCACGCTACAAGCTTGGTTATCAGGCCCTGGACACAATTCTTCTATGGAGAAGGGGGTCTGTGGGGGGGCAGGGAGGGGGTGGCACAGAATGATTCAAGAACTGTGGCCCTACCAGACTCTCCCTGTAGACATCACCGTGACGGCACAGGAGAGCTCCTTAGAAGGCTCCTCAGGAAAAAGAAGCTGTGTACAGATGGCCAATAAGCACATGAAAAGATGCTCAACGTCATTGATCATCAGAGAAATGCAAATCAAAACCACAATGAGATATCACCTCACAGCCGTTAGGATGGCTATTATCTAAAAACACCAACATAACGAGTGTTGGCAAGGATGTGGAGAAATTGGAACCCTTGTGCACTGTTAGTGGGATTGTAAAATGGTGCAGCTGGTATGGAAGACAGTATGGAGGAGACTCAAAAAATTAAAAATAGAACTACCATATGATCCAGCAACCCACCTCTGGGTATATATCCAAAGGAACTGGAAGCAGAATCTCAGAGAGAGATCTGCACTCCCATGTTCATTGCAGCATTATTCACTATAGCCAAAAGGTAGAAGCAACCCAAATGTCCATCAGCAGATGGATGGATGAACAAAATGTGGTCCATCCATACAATGGCACATTATCCAGCCTTAAAAAGGAAGGAAATTCTGTTGTATGCTACAGCATGGATGAACCTTGGGGACATTATGCTAAGTGAGATAAGCCAGACACATAAAGACAAATACTGCATGATTCCACTTATATCGAGTATCTAAAGTCGTCAAATTTATAGAAACAAAATGTAGAATGGCGGTTGCCAGGGGTCGGGGAGGGGAGTGGTACAATGGGTACAGAGTTTCAGATTAGCAAGATGAAAAAGTTCTGGAGATCTGTTTCACAACAACGTGAATATACTTGACACTACTGAACTGTACATTAAAAAATGGTTAAGGTGGTAAGTTTTACGTATTTTTTTACCATACTTTTTAAACAATTAAAAAACGAAGGGGGTACACTGCAAAGGTCATTTAGTCCAATCTTCCCAACTCACAGATGAGAATACTGAGGCCCACAGAGGAGTGACTTGTCCAAACGCACAGCCATGGCTGCCATAATCAGGACAGGCTTGGCAGATTGTAAATGTGGCCCAGCAGGGTGCTTCGTGAGGCCAATGTGGGGCTTGGTTCAGGCTCGATGGCTGTGGTCCGTGCTAGCTTTTAAGAGACGGCCACACGAGCCAGGGGCACACAGAGAGGTCTGAGTGGGTTATCTAGAAAATTCACTTAAGGGGAACAACTCCTGTGTGGCTATGTCAGCTAACCCTCCCCTCCTAACTCCAAGAGCTGAAGCTCTGAGCCCCTCCAGAGAGCCCCCTCCCCCGAGCCTGCAGGGCAGGGGTGGGGGCAGCTGTAACAAAGTAAAAATGTGGGAAACAGACCCAGATACCAATGAGCCACCGCCTGAGCCTCAGTTCCTCTCTCTCTGGAAAACAAAGGAAGAGCGCAGTTCAGTGCCAGGCACGTCGCAGGCGTTTAGTAGAAGGAGCCTGGGTGCTGGTTTAATACTATGGGCTCTGGAGCTGGGCTCATTCTTTCCTATCCTGGGGCCACCATTTCCTCTGTGTGACCAATCGGTGGCTCAGTCGATTCATCTGCAAAATGGGGAAAATTGTACCTCCCAGGATTGCTGTGAGGATTAAGTGAATTAGTTCATTTAAAGGGCTTGGAACCAGGCCTGGGACGTAGTAAGTACTCAGATACTAGCTCCTGTTGGGAGATACTGGGGCCAGAGTGTGTGTGTCCCTTGGTCCCTCTCATGCACCCCTTGCTATCTCAGCTATTGTTTGCTCATGATGGCTCCACCTGGGCCTAACAACGGGAAGTATTATAGCAGGGGCAGGCAGAGGAGGCTGGGGTGTGGCACTCTCTGGCAGGGCTCTGAAATGTTGCCTGGTGTCTCCTTGGCCCTGGGCCAAGGGCACAGAAGCTGGGGGCAGGGATGGGCAGCTCCAGGGCCCAGACCTTCATTCTCCTTTGTTCCCCAGCTGACCCAGGATTGACTGAGAGTAGGACAGAAAGAGACTGGGATGTAGGAGAGGATGTTGGGGTCACCCTATGCAACATGGCAGCACACGCCCATCCCTGACACCCCCCCATCACCCTCCTTGCTTGACTGCCTCTAGCTGAGACCCTGGACTGTTACCTGTACATTGTTTTTACAGCCAGTCTCCCTCCTGAGATTCTCAGCGCGGGCACAGGTACCCTCAGCACCAGGGACAGTGTGGCATACAGAAGTGGCTGGCATTTGTTGAGTGAATGAATGGATATCTGTGACAGGAGGCCTAACTAGCGAACATTGGAGGGGGCGGGGAGATAGGGAGGGGATTCAAATCACAGATGGAGCAGGGCAAGGGGGGATCTGGGAGGCAGGAGACCAAGAGCAGAGGGCTGCTGGATACAGAGGGTGACAGGGTGGGGGCCTTGACATAGAGTCCTGGCCAGCCCACAGCCAGCCTGACCTATCAGCTGAGTGGCCCTGAGGCCTCAGGCCAATAGGGAAGTCCCCTTGAGGTATCACCAGCCCCAGCAGACACTGACCCAGAAGTTATGTCCCCGCCCCCTGGAAGGACACCCACTGGCCTGGACCTACACCCTACAGTGGGGAGGAGATTATGCACCACAAGACACCTCCCCAGGTTCACCCTGGGTTCTCAGGGGCCCACCTTCTTTTGCCTGTGACTACTGTCTGGCTAAGAACCCATCTGAGACCAGGGCTGGGAAAGCCAGAGCTGCCACAGTCCGTGCCTGTGCTGCTGGCAGACATCACTAATCAATCCTGCCACAGTCCTGCAAGCGCCAGGCAGCCTCGATGCTTTGACTCTGAGCTCCAGGCTTCCGCTAGACTGAGGCAGGGAGACTGAGGAGGATCTGCCCGAGGCCGCCCACGAGGCAGTGGCAGAGCCAGCCTCAGCACGCGCAGAGGAAGCAGGGCTCAGCCCCCAACAACCCAGCCCCACGGAACGCTGGGGAGGACTCGGGGGTGTTCCCTCCAGCAACCCCTTTGGGATTTGGGTTTAATCCCAAGCACGAGGGCGGGCAAAGAAAGGATTTGGTTTCATTCCTTCAGATGCCCAAGCCTTGGCGGAGCCCCAGGGCACAGGAGTGAAGGCGTGTGGCTGCCCAGCCTCTACTGACAAAGCCTTCCTTTATTAAATAGAGATCGCGCTACATTCCACTCAAAGGAGGAAATCGGAGGTGGTGAGGGATGTGTGCAGGCTGAGTCCTGAGTGGGCTGTGAGGGGTGAGGAGGGGCCCGGGTCCTGCCCACCCCACCCCGGTCCTGCGCACCGGGCTCGGCCACCTCAGCCCCCGTTGTCTGAATGGCCTAAAAACAGGCATGGGGGCGTCCTGAGGCCCTGTGTTTGGCTTTTCTAGAAAAGTGTCCCAATCCTTCCAGCGGTGGGGGGTGGGGAGCAGGGCCCCTGGAGCACAGGGCTCAGATCAGGGAGGGGAAGGTCAGGAGGGAGGGCGGGAGGAGGGCCCTGATCCATCCCAAGAACGCTTTGGGGCAGTTCTCCAGCAGGTACAGGGTGGAGTGGAAGACAGCCCTGGGGCCCTGCCAGCCCCCACTAGCCCGGTTGCCCTGTGGGCACCTGGGACAGAAGTCCCATTGGGGCAGTCCGACTGGGAAGCCACCTGGGAACAGGGTGAAGGATGGCCACAAGGGGGCGCTGGGGGCCCAGGGCTTGGGAACTGGGGTGGTGGATACCCTGCAGATCCGGCCATGCAGGATGGTCCCTTTCTGAGGACAAGGCAGCAACAAGGCACCTGCAGGCAGCAGCTCCTGGGACCGGGGAGGGGTGCTGGCTGTCCCAGGTGTCCCCTCCCAAGGGCTGAGCCCCTGAGTACGGCTCCAAGCTCCTTGGTCTTTGGTGCTTTCTTGAAAGTCTCCTGGTGGCTGGAGTACCACTGGGGCAGAGAAGGGTCACCTCATGAGGTCCTGTCTGTCCTGGGATGGACATTTGGTGCCGGCTTAGTGCTGCTCCATGGCCTGGCCATTTGTCCCTCTGTTCAGCTTCTGGCTCACGGCTGGCTCCAGGACCCTGCCTTGCTGTCTGTCTGTCTGTCTGCCCTGGGGCAGGTGTTGGGTCCAGCTCAGAGCCCCCTCTAGGCCCGGGCCATGCCCTAGGCCTCCTGGGGGAAGAAGCCGAGCTTCGCCAGTGACATCTCCTTCCGCAGCCTCATGATCTCCCAGAACATCGGCTCCGCTGCAGGCAGAGAGAGGGTAGACAGCTTGGTGACAGCTCAGGGTCACCTCAGGCAGACGGCCTGGCCCCCTCTGCTGGCCTTGGGCTCCCCAGTCCCCCAGGACAGATGACCTCAGTGAGTGGCTGGACCTCTCTGAGCTTCTACCCTGAGGCCTTGCAAACTGTTGAGTGCTAAACACCCTTGAGGGATGAGAACCGCCTTGAAAGAGGTGACGGTCATCCCAAGAGGCCGACACAGACATGCATGTGCGCACTGCCACATGATGGACAGGCTACAAATGCTTTCCACCACCATCTCGCTGGGGTCTCACAGTGACCCTGAGCAGTGGGCGGGGCCCCAGCGTCAGTCCACGGACCTGGGAGGATGCAGCCCTTCAGGGCCCCTCCCCTGGCCTGGCCTTGGCCTTCCAGGGAGAAATGACCCCCAAGCTGGGGAGGAGAGGCTCAGATTCCAAACTGGTTTGGAAGAAGACTCATCAAGGAACAGTTTGGTGGAGCAGCGGGAAGCTAGGCCTTGCAGAATGGGGGGAAGGGAGACAACGGTTGGATGGCAGACCTGCCAGGTGAGGGCACAGTGGGAGGCAGTGAGCCAGCCAGGTGACCCTGAGGAGGCCACACAGGGAGGGGAGGAGATTCACAGGGGAGACCCCATTGTGCAGGGCCTTGAATGCCGGGCCAGTAACAGCAATGCTGTCCCTACAGGCCCCAGGGGCTGGAGAGGTTTCTGGGTGGGAGAAAGCAGTGGACCCAGGGACGCAGCAGGCGTCAGGCTAGCTTTCCTGGTGAGGCGGGCCCAGGAGGCTCTTTCTGCAGCTCATCTCTCCATGGAACTCAGCACCAGGAGGTCCACCCACCACCTACCCCCTGGCAGAGTCCTCCCTCGAATCGCCACAGCAAAGCACACGGGTTGGCCCGGCCGCTGCTGGCCCGCCCCCTCCCGGGCGCCACTCCCCCGCTGGCCACCAGGGGGCACTCACCATCCTGCCGCACGAGGCCCTGCTGGATGTAGCGGATGTAGGTGAAGAAGTTGCACACTGCCGTGATCTGTGGGCACAAGGGGGGGGGTCTGATCAGAGACCAGAGCGGGCAGCCCCACGTCCCATCAGAGCCAGATACCGCTCTCTGAGTCAGACGGGGCTGGGGCTGGGCTCTAAAGTTATAATCAATGACAGCAATATATTGCTATTCTTAATAAAAAATAGTGGCAACTGATATTGAATCAAGTACAATGTCCAATGAGGCAGACCTGCTTAGCATTCCCATTTGACACGTGGGGAAAATAGACGCCCCAAGAACGAAGCCACCTGACAACAATTGGGGAGGTCATAGAGCTGATAAGCGGCCGCACAGGAAGACGAAACCAGGCAGCCGGCTCTCGAATCCACGCTCATCCCGAGGGCCGGCTTGCTGTGGATGTGGGAGGCCCCGGATTAGCCAGGTACTGTCTGTCATGCCAGGGAAGGCGAGGGGATCAGAAGCTGCTCAGTCGGCTGCCCTGGGTCCCCATGCCTGAAGCCCCCTGACTGGCCTGATGTCTGCTCCTCGCCAGGCCCTGTGCTGGGCTGGGGACCCTGAACTGACTCAGAGCCTGGGCTCTGCCATGAAGACTCTCATACCGTGAAGAGGGCGCTGCTGGTGCCCTGCCCAGGCCCCTTCCCCAGGCTGGGGCCCCGTCTCCCCGTTGGCTGCTAAAGGCTCATAGGTGCCCCTCTGCGTCCCCCACCCCCGCAGACCTCAGTCAATGACTGACTGGCGTGGGGGGCATAAAAGGCCGGCCCCTTGCCTCAGGGTGGAACCCACTCCGGGTGCAGAGCCCCCGTGGATCAGGCTGCAGCCAGACTCCAGCGGAGGCCACACCTTGCTTGCCGCTGCCGCCCACCCCCTTCTGCTTCCCTCGCTCTCCTCCTGAGAGTTGCACAAAATCTCCATCTTAGGCTCTGCTTCTAGGGAACTCAACTGAAGACAGGCTGGAAGGCGGCTGGCAGCTGTGCCCACGACAGCCCCCACTGAATGTCCAGAGCTCTGGGGGGCACGTCAAGTGTGTGGGGGCCCACAGGCTGAGGAGTGGAGGAAGCTGCAGGGAGGGGGCGATGCTCCTGCGGGGCCCTCAGACTTTGACACAGGAGACCTTGCCAGGAGGACAAAGTGGGTGCAGGGGGTTGGTGGCCCTGGCAAAGGCAGGGAGGTGTGAGAGAGTGTGGCCAGGTCAAAGAACTAACCAGGTGTGGCTGGAGTGCTGCTTGGGAGCACGGGGGAGGGGCTGCGGTTGGCGGGACAGAGGCCAGGCAGGAGACGCTGGAGTGTCAGGCCGTGGTGTGGCCCAGTGGCCAGTGGGCCCCTTGGGGGGCTCATGAGCAGGGAGTGGCAGAGAACAGTGGGGTTCTCTCCCCAGGGCTGTGCTTTGGGGACAGAACTCTCTTTTCCCTATGGACGCCACAGCCTTTGGTCTCTTCAGGGTGAGACCACATCCTAAAACTTAACGCCCTTCTCATCTCATCTCCCATCCTGGCTCTGCCCAGCACAGCGGTCACGCAGGCCTGGAAGAAACCAAGTCCTAGATGTAATCTTACTAGACATGGGAATGTCTGGCATGGGTCCTTCTGTTGAGCCGTGGTTGGGACTGGAAAGGGCAGAGGGGACCTGTGGCCACGGAACAAGGCTCTGGAGCGAAAAGAGACTGGATTCAGAGTGGGGAGACCCCAGGTCTAGGCTGAGTGGCCCGGGCACACCCTTTCCTTTCTAAGGCTCAGACTCCCTTCGGGTAAATGGGAACCCAGCTCGCTGCTGGGGGGACTCGCCAGGACAACCCCCTCGGATGCCCTGCGGAAGCTGTCAGGACCAGACAAGCTGCCCTCGCCGTTCAGTCTGCTGCCCGATGACGGGGCCATCTGTCCACTGTAGTCCCCATGAGGAGCCTCTGGTAGGTCAAGGGGAGGAGAGAGGGCCTGTCCACACCGTGTCACCTTAGCACCAAGCCTCAGAGTTTTCCAAACACATCCTCTTTTGTTCCTTACAATCCTCTTCACAGTATATGAGGGGACAGAGGAACGGGGACCACCCTACCCTTAAACCCCAGCTCAGTGAGGTCCCCTCATCCAGCCTGGGTCACACAGCAGGTGACGGCAGAAGCCGGGATTCCTTGGAGGGTGTCACACACTCCTTGTGTGACAGACATGCCTCAGAACCTTCTCAAACGCCTGGTGCCGGGAGTCAGGAGCCTGGAGCTTGAACCTGAATCTGGTGTCCCTTCCTTGATTAGGTTACATTAAATGACAGAGGTGACGGGTGTCACTCCCACAATTATGTTTCAGCAACCAAGAAAACAGGCACCTCACTCCCGCAACCACAAAGAACTGAATTCTGCTAACAGCCACATGAGCTCAGAAGAGGACCCCAATCTCCAGAAAGGACACAGCTGGCACCTTGACTGCAGCCCAGAAACCCCCTGAGCAGAGGACCCAGCTAAGCTGTGCCCAGACTCCTGACCCAGGGAGACCGTGAGACAGTAAATGGGTGTTGTTTTAAGCCACTAAGTTTGCGGAAATTTGTTAAGCAGCAATAGCAAACTACTACACCTGGCCTGGCTGTGTGGCCCAAGTCAGTCTCTGCACCTCTCTGAGCCTGTGCCCTACTCTGTAGATGGAGGTTGTGCTCTCAGGCCTGGGGCCCAGAGTCCCAGCCCAGGGAGCCCCTAAGGAGCCAAGTGACACCCCCATTGGATGACTCACCCTGGCCCGGGAGGACGGCGAGATGTAGTAGTGGCTCTCTGAGTCCCCCAGCCGGATTCGGTGGCGACAGGCACGAGCCAGCCCGCTCAGGGCACATGTACTAGGGGAAAGCAGAGGGGGCCATGGGGGGCCGGCTGGGGCTCACCCACCCAGCTCATGCAGGAGGATGCAGCAGCCAGAAGGATGCACAGAGGGAGGGGTAGACAGACAGACATGCGGGTGGGGCCCGGCATCTTCTTCCCTGGCCCCAGCTTCCCAAGGAGCCTGGGGCCAGGCCAAGGAGGGGGCAGCCCCAGAAGGTTCTAGGACAGACCCTTAAACCGAGCTGGAGCCCACCCCTAAACCCTCCACCTCGCCCTTGCTGGGCAGGAGAGCTTACTCAACCTCACGCCAGGTGTGCCAATGCTCCACCCACTGCAGCCCCTAAAACTGCTCCCCTACTTTACTGGGGCCCTCAGACTTCCCCTAACTAAGCAGGAGTCCGCTGTCTCCTCCACTTGGTCCCCAGGGTAGGTCATGCTGGATCCCCTCAGCTCCTTCCAACCAGTTCTCTGTCTCATTTCTGCCCTTCTTCTTACAGCCAGGGGCTCCTCTAAAAACCCCCCTATACCCCATCATCTTTCCCCACTGCCTTCCTATGCCCAGGAAACAGTTATGGAGAATCCCAAGTCAAGGCGGGTTCAACAGGCTCCTTGGCTGCAGGACTTATCAGAGCCTTTGCTGCCTCCAGGTTCACTGTGACTTTCGTTGGACCAGGGAGCCCTCTTTTCAGGGAACATCTATTGATAATTTGTGAAATGCTGGCCTAGCGGGTTACAGCTCGAACCTCATTCAAGGCACTTCACACCCTGGCCCCAAACACCCTCTGCGGCCTCAGCCCCATCTCCCTGCCTGCCCTGCTACTCTGCCCACTGACCCAGTGGTGTTTCCGTTAATAACCCCGCTTCCCATACCTCTGCTCATTCTGTTCCCTCTGCCTGAAAGGCCCTTCCCTACTTGGCAAACTGCTATTCATCCTTCAAAACCTGGCTCAAATGTTCCCCTCCATGATGAGGCCCCCACGGTGGGGCCTCCCTCGCAGGCCAGATCCCAGGCTGCAGAGAGGAACTGCTCCCCAATCTCTGCCCCTCGCTCCATGCGGACTGTTTTGTTCTGCCGCTAGCCCTGCGCCACGCCAGCTGAGCAGCAGGAAGGACAAGATACCAGAGCCATTCGGTTCTTTATGAGCAGAAGGCAGAGCCAACAGCTGACATGACTTACGTGTCAATCGGGGCCCGGAACCCGCTGTGGGAGAGACGGGAGTGGAGAGGGATGCGTGTCAGGCCAGCCAGGAAGGGGGAGGCCCCAGCCCCCGGACTCCCTAGAGAGCCTGGGGGTCCATGACCAGAGGCAGGAATTTCTGCCAATGATGCCTCCTTGCCCTTCGTGGGGGCAGCCACTGTCCTGCTCCTGCCACAGCCCCCGCCCACCTTCGGGTCCCACGCCAGGACCCCAGCAGGCAGGCCTGAGTCTCAATCCTCCTTGGCCGCGCCCTTGGCAGAGCCCAAGGCCAGGCGGGGCTTTCCCAAGCGGGCAGGAAGGGGTGAAGGGTGCTAAGCTTACTTGGTGCTGCCACACTCGACTGCTGCTACCTTCACGGCGGGCAGTGTCTGCGAAGCCACGGGCTCGATGGTGAGTGTATTGTCCTCCACGGCGGCCCGAACCAGCGCTGAGAGCTGCGGCAGAGCAGGGTGGCGGGTGGGGTGGTGAGGGGCTGGCCTCCGGCTGAGGGGCTGGGCCCCCGGCTCACCCGTCCCTCACCTCCTGCATGGTGAAGTCCAGGCAGGGGCCCACGTCCTCCCGGTACACCCTTTCCAGGAAGGGGCAGCTCTTATCCAGGGTGGGCGACTCCCTCCAGGCCTGGAACTCTGCAAACAGGATCGTGTCCACCTGTGGGGGAGTGCAAGCCGGGTGGGGGGGTCAGGGCACTCGCTGGGGGCCGGCACGGCAGAGACGGGCAGAGGTAGGGGGCCAGGGAGGATGCAGGCCCCAGCATGCCAGCAGGTCTGTCCCCAGCAGCCGTGCAGAGGAGCAGAGCCCTTTGCACCAAAGAACTCAGAAATCAAAATTTTGCTTCTTAGTGTGTTTTCAGTTTCCTGGCACTATGGGATTACAGACTTGGGTCCGGGGCTTTGTCTTGAAGACCCTCACCGCCTCCTTGAGAAGGAAATGAGTGACCCCACAGGTACATGCAGGTACCCCCAAGTACATGCAGCACACACAGGAGGGAACACACACAGGCCGCCCACTCCGGAGAGGCCCCTCGCCCGCCGTCCTGGGGCACATGCAGAGTGAGTGAGGCTCGGGGGTGGGCAGAGGGGCGGCCCCTCTCTGGAGCCATTACCTGCCGGGAAAAGGAGAGAGAGGTAGCGGAGGTGGGGGCCGCAGGCAGCTCCCCGGGCAGGAGCTGCCAGGCCGGCTCGTAGGTGAGGTGAACCGCCTTGCTGGGGACCACGCAGAGGAGCAGGGAGAGGAGCGGGGGCAGCCCGGGCTGGGCAGGGGGGCCGGTGGGGCAGACAGACAGACAGACAGACAGACAGGTGCAGAGAGACAGACAGGAGGAAGGAGATGTTAGTGTCTAGTTGAAAGCTCAGAGCTCAGAACAGGGTCAAGAGGCCTGGCCTGGGGCTCCTCCCTGGAGGTTCTGGAAACTTCTGGCAGGACGGGGCTGGGGGCTGCCTTGGCGGCAGAGACCCCAGGAAGCTGAATCCCACTACAGCCCTTGTGGGCATTCGCGGGGTGTAGCCCTCAGCTGAGCTCCTGACCTCCACGACTCAGTTCCTCCTGTGGCCCCAGGAGGCCCCATTTATGTGAGGAAACTGAGAGGCTGACAGGTGGCCTCACCTGCCCAAGGACCCATGGCCAACGACATCGTAGTCCACTGTCCAGCCTGGACCAAGTACTCCACGTACCCAGCTGAGGGGAGAGGGAGACAGCCCCCCAGAGCCCGTGCTTGTCTTGGTACTGCAGCCAGAGGGCGCTGAGGACCCTCAGCCCAGGGGTGTCACAGGTGGTCCTGGCCTCAGGGCTGTGGGCACACAGGGCCCAGGGAGCCTCTCCCCAGAGGCCCAGCAGTGGCCTCTTCAGGCGGAGGGAGTGTGTGTCTCTGCAGATCCCCCAAGGGCAGGCGAGCCTCAGGCCCAAGACCAGCTTCAAGTGCAGAGAACACCCCCTACTGCTTGGAGGGGCGAGGAGGGGGTTATCAGGCCCCCCAGATCGTACACCCAGAGCCGAAGGCCAAACGCCTCATATCACAAGGAACCTGCCCAGTCCTCACAGCCAGAAGACACAGAGGCCCAGAGAGGGCAGGCCCAGGCTCCAGGTCACACAGCAAGGGGCCAGCCTGGTCCCCACTGGGCCCTACTGCCCGGCTGACAGCGGGCACCGTCTCCTTTTCCTGTGTCCACTGCCCGCCCGCCACCCCTCACCTCTCTGCCCTCCTTGTCCGGGGGGAGGGCGTGTCCTGCAGCGGGGCAGACGGCGGGGCAGAGGGCGCTGCTGGTGCTCTTATGACGCAAGTGGCCCTTGCGGGGCCCCGCCTTGGTGGGGCTCAGGAGCTGTGGGTGGAGCTCGCGGTTGGGAGAGGCTGGTGTGGACGTGATGACCAGCGTCTTCAAGGCTGTCACCTCCGCCTGCAGCATGTCGATCTGGCCGGGACGAGATGGCTATCAACCTTAGCCCAGGGTTGCCACTAGCACCTAACCCCCTCCTTTACCCTTGGACTAGCCTTTGTGGGCACTGAGACACTCATTTTACAGAGAGGGAAACTGAGGCTCAGAGAGGTGACATAGCCCGCCTGAGGTCACACTGTACGCCAGGACTCTGTGAGATGCACCTGTCTGGGAGCTGGCTGGGCCTCCCACAGCCTGACTGAGGTTTCTGCTTTGTAAAGGAGTACAGGAGCGGGGAAAAGAAGTGACAGTGACCGCAGGACCCTCCCAGCCCCTGAAAGGCCCCAGAAAGTTCTCTGTGGTGCAGTGGACACACTGCTAGAGCCCCAGGGAGCTGGGCTCGCACCCCAGTGGGCCGCATTTCAGCTGCGTCATCTCAGATGCTTCTGCCTCACCTTCTGGGCCTCAGTTTACCCATCCCTGCCAGCCCCACCAGGCCGTGCGAGGGTCCGACTGGGTAGCGAAGGCCGGTGCTCCAGGGTCTGGGCCCTCACCTTGCCCCGCGCCTCCTTCAGCTGCTTTTCCGAGGCCGCCTGCTTCATATTGGCCTCGCGCACCATCTTGTGGGCTTCCTGGGAGAAGGCAGGCTCCGCGTGAGTGCTGAGGAGCCCCCAGACGCCCCGCAGACCCACTCCCCAGCCCGCCCCTTCCCCCGGGGCCGGCCCCTGTACCTCGAACAGGCTGGCCGTCAGCTCCTCCAGCTCCTGTTCCAGCTGCTCCCGCACCTTGGACAGCCGCTCACACTCCTCGTCCTTCAGCTTCAGCTCCTGGGGGCGCAAGGTGGGCGGCTGTCAGCCCCACCGGGGCCCCCAGGCCCAGTGACCAGGCTCCATCCCCCAGGCCATCTTATGTGGGCCCCGAGCTTGCTTCCTCTGCTGCCCCACGGTTTATGATGCATTTTCTATTTAGCTCATAGCCCGAGGCTGAAACCCCGACCATCAGTCCATTGGAGCTTGGGACACGGTTTCAGAGATGTCAAGACTTCTAAAAGTCATTACAAATCACAAGAACCGATCTTTGTACTCCCCACATGCCCAGCATGAGCCTGACATGCAGCTGGCCGTGAGAGGTGCATATCATCTCCGGGCCTTGGGTGCGAACCCACAGCTCTCCTAGGCGGGCCCCTGGTCCCCGAAGCCCCCTTCCCCGCCCTCAGACCCCCACCATCTGGGCTTTGCGCAGCTCCTCCTTCAGGAACTCCGAGCCCTTCTCGCGGATCTCCACGGAGGAGTTGCGCAGGCGCAACACGTCCAGCTGGGCGGCCGCGGGGTCCTCCTCACCGTGGGCCTCCTCCCCTGCAGAGGCCTCCGCCAGGACCCCCGGGGGCTCCCTGAGGCTATTGCAGGGGCCCACACTCTTCCAGGAGACCGGGACAGCTTCCGGGGGCGGCGGGTGGCCCTCGTCCGGGTGGGGCTGGCTGCGAGGCAAAGAGCAGATACAGGATGGGGTCCCGAGACCTGGAGGGCTGAGCCCAGGGACCAACCCCGGGCAACACACGTGCCACTCTGGGCCTCAGTCTCCCCATCTGTAAAATGGGGACACTACCAGTGAGGCTGTCACCAGGTTGTCACAAGGGCAGAATGCCCAAGCATGAGGTCTCTTGAAAGCAAGGACAGGATGCATTCATCTTTGTCCACCCACCACCCCCTCCAGCCCAAGGCCCAGGGCTGTGCTTGGCACACAGTACGTGGTCAGTCTGTGTCTGTGGACAGATGACTGTAAATGCATCAGTGTTGAGAATCTGAGTTTCCACTTCTATAAAGTGGGGACAATCCCAAAGGCCCCACCTCAAGGGTCGCTGAACGGATCAGAGATGTGCATAAAACCTTGGCACACAGGAGGCACTTCAGTGGGAACCGCCTTCATCGCTATTGTTGACGCAAATTTTATGCAAATTATACCCCATTTCGGCGGACCAGAGAGGAAGAAGGACCCAGCCGGGGCAGGCAGGGCTGAGGCAGGAAGATTCCGCAAACAGCTTGGGCAAGGCAGTCCCACTTCCTGCCCCTTGGACCGTGTGGGGATCAGTCCCAGCTCTCTGCTGATCTGCCTGGTGACCTCAGGCAAACATCCTCTCTCTGGGCCTCAGGACCCTGAAGTTGAAGACCCCAGAGGCAGTGTGGGATAGGGGCCACCAGCCTCTGCCCTCGCCCCCCTTCGCAGCAGACCCTGGGGAAGGAGGGAGTGAGAGGGCTTGGCCAGCAGTGGTTTGTGCCAAGACAGCACCTCTGGACTTGCACGCTCAGCAAAAGCTGGTGGCTCCTGAGCCAGCAGCTTCTGAGCTGCTGTGGCTGGGCTGAGGGTGGGGGGCTGGGACAGGCCACTGATAACAGTGGGGAAGTGGAGGGAAGGGGGCTCAGAGGGGCCCACACGGGAGGGAGGAAAGACAGGCCAAGGAGGTCATGGGATTCAGGATTGCCCGGAAAGGATGAGTGGCAAGGCTGGGGACTGGTCCCTCCTCCCTGTCCTCTGGACCCTGGGATGGTCACCAAGCAGCCCCTGAGCCTGTTTCCTGCTAGGTAACACAAAAGGACTGGGCACCGGGGACCCCAGCAATGAGCCCATTCTCAACTCTTCACGTGGCCCTGTCCCGCCGCTCAGCCCAGCCTGCCCTCTGCTTTGGAACTGGCCCCGAGTGTGGCCTCGAGGTTCCTCAGGTTGGGTCCTGCCTGGCAGGGATGTGGGGCTTTGATGAATAAGGTGGCAACGCACATCCATCACTCCATCAACAGTGTTGATGCCTCTCAGGGATCTTTCTTAATACTCTTGTTTGGAGGGGTCTCGTTGGCAAGGGGGTTCCTGAGACTTGAGGGCTTAGCCGCTATGGCACCCCGGGCTGGGGTCTGCATGGGCTGCTCTGCCTGTATTATCTCATTTAAAACTCTCAACAGCAGTTGCGGTCCTCTCCCCATGCTACAGATGAGGGATGGAGTCTCAGAGAGGGGATGGGACTTGCCCAGGGTCACACAGCTGGTGGGTGGCAATGCTGGCACAGGTAGCCAGGTATTCAGCCCAGGCCCAAAGCTCCCCGTGGGTGAAGGTGTGAGTGGTGGATCGTTGCATCTGCCTGGGGATCAAGGGCTGTGAGCCCAGGGGCCTTGGGAGGCTCCTTCTTGGCTGCAGCAGGGAAATCTGATCCAATTCCACCCAGATCTGGCTTCCCAGTCTCTGCTCAGGCCCAGAAACCGCCTCCCAGGAGGGAGAGCCAGGGTGGGGGAGTTGTGGTTGACAGCGGAGGCCAGAGTCGGGCTAGCCCGGGGTCCATGTCAGGCTCTGACCCAGGGTACACACAAGCCCCTGGGACTGTCACTGAAATTCTCTGAACCTGCTCCTCCACCTGTGCAATGGGGGTAAAAACCTGCAAGGGTTGCACTAAGAAGCAAACGAAGAGGTCTCTGCAGAGGGCGCTGAGCAAAGAGCGTGCAATCTGCGGCCATGTTTGGCAGACACCCCCGCCACACCGCAGGCCCCAGGGGGGTGTCCCCGCTGGGAGTCTGGAGGCCTGAGGCCCAGCCCCACTTCCTCAGGTAAGAGAGGATGGCCAGAGTCAGTCAGGCGTGGTGGGGGCAGCAGACCCCACCCCGGGGGCCGCCCACTTCAATAGAATGAGCGAGAACTGTGGGCCAAGGGTGGGAGGTCACCCACAGGGATGGCACAGGACACAGGGCAGGATCCCAGGTTTCACATGCCCAGCCTGGGTGTCTTTCCCTCTGCAAGGACCACCTCGCCATCACCCACGCCCCCTGCATAGGAGAAAAGGCCACCAGCCCCTCCCGCGAGGGCTGAGCCTCATCCACCAGTGTGGTCTGGGCCTCTGGCCACAGGGAAAGACTCTAACTCTCCTGCTGATCCCAAGGGCAAGGGCTGGGGGTGTGGCCGGACAGTCCCCCATCATTTTCCCAATAGGCTCTCACTTCAGCCCACTGCCTGGGGGATGGGGCCCTATTTTGCAGGCAGAGGAAACAGTGCCCCTGGGAGGCCTGAGACAGAGTCTCCGTGATATCTTCCCCTCCCCTCCCCTCCCCCTGGTGGAAAAGCCTGACGGGAAAATCCTAAGGTCAGAAAGCATGGGAACAGCAGGACCACCCTGTAGTCACCAGCTGCCCAAAGCCTGGGCCAGGGGTGCAGGAGCAGGAGGGAAAGGGCCCTCCCTGTATTGGGGGGCAGCTCCAGCCTGCAGACCCACTCCCCCACACTTCCCGCTCCGGTGAGTCAGAGATTTCAGAGGAAGGAGGGACCCCAGACACCTCGGGGCCAGTCCAAGCCAGAATCCCCTATCATTCACACACTTCGGCCTCCCAGGCCAGAGGACTGCACACTTGGGTGCGAATGCCTGTGGTGATGGGGACTCACTCCTTGGACAAGCACAGACTACCACTTAAGTTCTTCCGCGCTATGCACTCTGCACCCCCAGGCCAGGTCCATGGCCTCTGCTCAACCCTTCTCAGTCCCCACTCCCTGCAGAAACAGAATCCAGCATCCAGGATACGCTGCAGGGGCCACTGGGAAGGAGTCTGCTTGGGGGCAGGAGATAGTAAGAGTCAAGGTCAGGGGTGGACGGGGGCAGCTAACATCCCCCGTCCTGAAGCTGGCTCTGCAGCCTAGAGCCCATGGCGGTTCACACAGGAAAGGCCCCGCTGGGTCACTTCCCCAGGAAACACACGCAGAGGGGGAATGCAGCAACCCTCCCCGCCAGGTCTGCCCGAGGAGGGCCGGCAATGGCAAAATGAGCACAAGGACTCCTGGATTCTATGGTCCCCCGTCACCCAGCAACCCCCACTGGGCCAGAAGGGCCCCACTAGGGTCCTGCGTGCCCCGTCCCAGCCCTGACCCGACCAGCCTGCCAGGAGGTCTTTCTGCCCCTCGGTCTCTCCCTCGCCACCCACCAGTGCCCACGTCACCTCTTGAGTTAAAGATCCCTGTGCTAATGGGCACAGTGGGTTCATGAAGCAAGCAGAGCAGGAGCCAGCAAAGGATGCTCTGAGACAGGGGGAAGGAGAGGGCTGGGAGGGCACCCTGGGAGCCCTCACCCTCTGCCCAGGGCCAACAGGCTCACGCTCCAGGGTGGCCGCGGCGGGTCTGGTCTGCAGGAACCCGGACCCGGGGCCCAGCTCCGGGGCAGTGCCATGGCGCAGGGGCCCGGTTCAGGACCACGCTCACGCACTCACGGGCAGTCCAGAAAGCACCGAGGGCACTGAGGCTGACAGCCAAGTGACTTGTGTCCAGGAACCCAAGGGGTCCCAGGAAAGGTTTCACGTTGGCTCCCTGACTGCCTGCAAGCCCAGCCAGGCTCAGCCAGGCTCAGCCTACAGAACGGGGCCACGTCTCCAGCTCCAAACCCACAAGCGTGTCGGATCCCCCCTCCATGTCAGCCCCCCACCTCACGTGTCCACAGATGTCATCCCGCAGGACCCTCACCATGCCATGGCGGGGAGATGCTCTCCCCAGCCCGGTTTGAACGATGAGGCACCCAAGGTTCAGAGAGGGATGGTGACCCGGCCGGAACACACAGCCAGGAAGTGACAGGGTGGGAAGTGAACACAGAGTCCAGGCACTAGAGCGTCATGTGACCCGTCACCCAGAAAAGTCCTGACGGGAGGAAAGAGGATGAATGGTGGTTTCGGAGAAATGAGGCAGGATGCAGACGAGGTTTGAGGAAGTTTGAGACAGTGCCCGAATGGTGGTGGTGGCGGAGGGGTTCCACCCAAGACTGCTGTACAAGCCAGACAGGCCTTGGGCTAGGAGGGGACATGCAGAGGGGACACACAGAGATAAGAGACTCTGGGGCGGGAATCTGGGGAGAACCAGGGGCTGGAGAGAGGGACAGAAAAAAAAAATTACAGTAATTAACTAAAATAATTAAAAACCAAGGAAAAGGTGAATGAAGAGAACAGTGGTACCCAGGATGGAAATGAGGAACTGGGAGGGGGTCTTTCAGGGAAGGGAAAGGGGTGGCTGAGGCATTTGGGACGTGACATGTCCTTCAGATGGCCGAGGGGAGGCACAGGGCAGAGGGAACAGCCGCGGCCTGAGCCTGGATGAGGGGATGAATGACAGAGGAGCGAGAGCCAGAGAACCAACCTGGAGATCTGAGGAGGAGCCATCACGGGGGTTGGAAGGAGGGTTCCAGAAGAATGGGTGTCATACAGGGGAACAGAAGAATGCCAGGGAGGTGAGCAGCGTGGGACCCCAAGGGCGGGAGAGGGTGGGCCTGGAGCACTCCAGGAAGGGGGAGGCAGGTGTGGGTGCGGGAGCCCGGCGCAGCAGGGCCTTGCAGGAGAACATGGAGCAGGATCAGGAACAGCGTCGGGATGGTAAGCTGGGAGGTCAGAACACCTGAAGAAGGTGGGCCAGGCCAAGCCTTTCCTGGCCATAGCCCCAGGCCTGCCAGCCCAGCCCCACCCTGATGAGGGACTC